TGGAGTATGATGTGATTAGATAGCACTCCAAGATATTTCCACTAGGTTAATGTTTAATAACATTGTATAGGAAGTATTGTGGCAGTGTGATTTGTTTTAACAAGATCCCAAGCAGAGAGTAAATCTTCCTGTTCAAAGAATTTGCCTAAGTATCCCCACCTTTCATGATCATCACAGAAGCCCCATCCATTCAAAATGATTCTGATGCCTCGGGGGAAATAGGCATCGAAGGGATTGCAGGAAGATTTATGCAGATTAAAGTGACATTCCTTTTCCCTTTATTCCTTTCCCTTCCTGAACAGTTCTGTAGGAAACCCATTAAGTAGCACCGAGCAAGGTAGGCATAGGGGTGACGGTGTCAGAGCTCAAGAAAATTAAGGAGGAGGGGAGACGGTGAGTAGAACCTGACTGAGATGAGGAGGTGTGTTAGTCTACTTCAGCTACTATAACAAAATACTCTAGACTGGGTAGCTTAAACAACAGACATTTATTTTTCACAGTTGGAGACTCTGAGAAGTCCAGGATCAAGGTGTCAGACCACTGGTTCCTGGTGAAGACCCTCTTTCTGGCTTGCAAATGGCTGCCTTCTCACTGTGTCCTCATATGGCAGAGACAGAATGATCCCTCTCTCGTTCTTCCTCTTCTTAGAAAGTCACTAATCTGATCCTGAGGGTCCCACTTCATGACCTCCTCTAACCATAATTACCTCCCATAGGTCCCATCTAAATACCATCTCGCTGGGGGCGACAGCTCCAACATGTGGATTCTGAGGGGATACAATTCAGTTCGTAGCAAGAGAGTATCCACCAAAAGGTGAGCTTCAGGGACAAGGCAGCCCACCTTAGGGTAACAAAGCCCCGAAAGAGTAAGCAGTGTTTCCTCATGGCAGGTGAGGGGAGAGTATCCCGTTATGTGGTGTTAGCATCCAAGCAGGGTCAGGAGTGTGTTCGCATGGGAATGGAGGACAGCCTACTGCTGGTTGTCCAAGCTCAGGGAGGATGGGGAGGGTTTATCCTGAGAAGACGGCACTCACAGAGGGTCAGAAGCCAAACTGTGTGGGGAGAGCGTCTGTCCAGGGATGGTGGTGGCAGGCTGATGAGAGCTGTTGAAATCTGAATGGAGAGAGCAGCATATCTGCATGGGGAGAGGGCCAGTGACAACAATGGCTTTGCACAGCATGTTAGAGCCCGACATGGGTGACGAGGGCATGCGGGTTGGATGTAGCAGTGTGGCACTCAGAGACTGGATACGTAAAAATAATTGACCAAATAGAATATATTGAGGATAATGAGAGCCTAGTTTCTCAATGTCATACACAAAAGTTGCAAATAAGAAAAGAGAGAAAGCTAGAGTAAACTCTCTGTGGACTTTCATTGAAGTGGAGATATTGATGTGAACTAGTAATAGTCCAGATAGATAGATAAACTACTTATGGGCGTAAATGTAAATCTGTATATCAATATATATATCCCTACCTATTACAAATATGTATTTTTATCTGTTAGGATATAGTCCCTACCTCTCTCCACTGAGAAACTTCCAATCAGCAATCTCCAGTGGTAATGAGCATACTTGGCCCTCTGATCTTGGTTTCTAAATACAATTGTCCACTTAAGGGAAGCAGAATTCCTTGGACAAGTGATTCTATCTATGACTGGGCAGAGAAATTGCAAGATGAGCCTGGGAAATCTTGCTGCATAAGAAAGAAGGAAATTATCAGAAAATGGAGAAATATCAAAAGGACAAAAAAGGTAGCTTCAAAGGGGACCCAATAAGCAAGTTTGGGACAATTTTAACATTACAGTGTCATGAGAATATTGAACCTACTAAATAAAACAAGAATCTATCAATCCATACTGGTATGAATAGATGAATAAATTGAAATTTTGTTGAGAAATGGAATCTTTACCTAGCCTCAAAGTACCTCCCCCACAAAATATGTGTTAACTATAAAGGAGGGGAAAGTAACTTTATATTAAGAAGCCTGGCGGATGCCACCTAAATCAAGTAATCAAAGTTAACATCACCAGCAATGGAGCAAATCAAACCCACGTGTCACCTGACAGGATGAAAGGAGAAGAATGCAGGGTCACTTTTGTGATGTGCCTGCCCAAGTTGCATAACTGAATTTAATCATGAGGAAACCTGAGACAAACCCACCGGGGGGGGGGCATTCTACCAAATAACAAGCCTATAATCTTCGAAAATGTCATGGTTCCGAAAATCAAGGAAAGACCAAAGAACTGTTGTAGACTGAAGGAGTTTAAAGAATCATGACAACTAAATATCATGCAGGATTCTGGACTGGATTCTTTTCTTAGAAAGGACCTCATTGAGACTACCGGCAAAACTTGAATGGAATCTGAGGACTAGATGGTAATAATGTATCAATATCATTTCCTGGATGGCTGTATTACTGTTGTGTAGGAGAATGTCTGTTCTATACTAACATATTCCAGGGTGATGGGGCATTGTGTTGGTCTCTCACTCTCAAATGGTTCAGGAAAATGTTACTTGGATGATTCCTGCAATTTTTATAAGTTTGAGATTGTTTCCAAATAAAAACATTTTTTAACAAATCAAGTGACAACTGTTAAATCATTCAGCAACACCTAATGATAGCAAAATAAGAGTAAGGATTATGAACAGTAATTAGAGTTGTGCAGCATGAAGCAGCTATCTCAGCACAAACCACAGAGGTAAAATACGAGGGAGCCAAAGTAGAAGGGCCCACTCTGGTAGGATCACTATTTTTTTTTTTTTGGTAGGCTCACTATTATCTGTACTAGTTTATGTTGTCACCGGCGGCCCTTCATCCACAGTGTGGAGGAACTGGAAATTAATATCAGATCCTACCATATAGATGTTGGACTTTATTATAAATTTTATGTTGTTCTCCCTGAAATATATGGTACAGTGTAATCCTAAACCACATTTTTGTCTTTAAAAACCCTTAGCCCTCCATGAAACCACTAGTATAAATATTATCAGATTACATGGAAATACATATTTTAATATAAATTCCTGAACCAGTGGGTCATACATAGGCTCCAAGTAGGCAAAATTAAGAAAGCGTTTCCCCATAGAGAATTCTGTCCTAAAACGTAACTAGTTCTAAGTTTGCTGTCTGTGGTATTATATTGAAAAATACTTGGCTAAATTGAATGTGCTATACATATTTACACAATAAAATTCCCAAATAAGGTCTACAAAACTTAATTATAAATGAAGACCTAATATAAACATTCACTAGATTTTAGTTCAGGAATAATGCTTTGATGTATACTTAAGGATAAGAAAAAAGTAATTAATAATAAATCACTCCACCCTCAAGAGTCATAAATCTATTTGCACTTTAAAATCTCCATTCTTCTAAATTGCATCTTAATGTTCCTTTGCGAAGTCACAACATTTACACAACATCAAAATATTAAGTCTCCTTGACTCAACTTTGGTCCCCTGGAAAATGGGAGTTACAACGATTTTAGTTGGAGGACAGACTAATTGAGGGATTAATTCTTGTTTGTCCAGTCCTTTGAAGACTAAGCATTACTCAATTTCAAAATTATTATGATTTATTCATCCCTCTTAAAAGCAAGCCTGCCATAAATATAAACTCCCCTTAATCAATTATTCATTTACAAGTGGGACCAGATTAATTCTATTAACAAAAATTGAAATAAAATGTAAGATTTCAATAACCCCCCAAAAGACAGCATCAGTTAGAATAAATGATTGTGACAAACGTATATAATGCTATGGTCCTTAGTAAATTGTCTTATCTAGAGATATTACAAGCATTACAGAATATACCAAAATCTGTCAGATTTGCTGCGTTATTTCACACTTACATAATATTGTGTTTTCTTAACTATTTCATAAATATAGATTGATGCTTAATCTGAGCACAACTTCTTGGAGCTTCCAAAGCTTTTATCAATTAACAGAACCTTTATTTTATATTATATTTTTGCTTTAGTTTAATTTTTTAAATTTATTTGGAGACACTGGGGGAAGTTATATCTATACATGGTGGAACTTCCAAAAATAATCGCTAAGTATTGCTCCTAGGTAGTATTTTCCCTGGTCTACCTTGACGATGGATAAAATTCCACACTGGATCGTGAACCACCATGTGCTCTTGAAATAGAGCTAACTACATTTGTCAAAGAAGCAGACCAACACTATTTAAAGAAGCCATGTGATACCTCTTATTTTATTTTAGATGTTCACAGGACTATGTAAACTATATGACATTTTAAGACCAAACTGAATTCTTGGCTCCTTTCAGTGGAATTTCATATGATATTTGACTGTATCTGCTGACTCACACACCAGTCGTACAAAATGTTTATTCAATGTCTTTCATAATCTCATCTCACTGATAGATGTTGGGCAGGAGAGAAAAGAATTTTAAGCACACCATCATGTTCCAAAAAGGATTCAAAATACTTTACACAGATGAATAAAAAAGAAGCAAGTTAGTGTGAAATTTTAAAAAAATAAAAAAGAAATAGCAACAAGAGTGGAAACATAAGATTTTATATATTCAAATGCAAAAATACAAACTTCCTCCCCAGCCTCATCCCATGAACTCTTTCCCTTATTTACTCACTCCAGTCACACCAGCCTCATTTCAGACTTGTCAACTTACCGGCTCTTGGAACTTGCTCTTCCCTCTGTTATGCTCCTCCTGCTTGGCGTGCTGACCCCCTCTACTACGACAGCACTCTACATTTATTCTGTTTACTATCCTCCATTCCTGTCTTCAAAGCACAATACACTTTGGGAAGTTATCATTTGTTTGATAGTTTGTGTGTTTACTGTCTGGTGAACCCATTAGAACGTTAGCTCCATAAACACAGGAGCTCCCCTCCTTCTGTTACTGTACGCTCAGCACTTAGCACAATGTCTAGCACATCATAGATGCTTAATAAATATTTGTTGAATGAATGTACTAAATATAGAACCCTGTTCTCAGACCACATCCCTTTTCAACAGCCCTTAAAATAAACACAAACAAGTTCAAATCTCTTTAAAATTGCTGCCAACAATGCCTTCAGTAAGGCTCCATTTCATCCTCTGTATTTACCTTTTGACCTTCCTTTCTTTGCCATCATTTTTCATGTTTGATCAACACTATCTTTCCCCAGGAATTTCCCACACACTCTCTATTTTCCCACAACACGTTGTTTCCTTTCTCCATCTCTACCCATTAATGTCACAGCCATTCTTCCAGGCAGGGTGACAACAGGACTTTTATAAGCCTAAGCCACTTTGTCTCCTGGGGCCCCTTCTTCCATAAAAATATTAAAAATTATTGTGTTGGTATAAAGACAAATATAATCCTAATTCAGTTCATTGTTCTATATCTGTTACTATTACATTCAATTTTTCTAATTTTAAAAGAAATTAAAATTAAAGCATTTTATTTGTGGGCCCCTCAAAGTAACATGGGTCCTAGGCACTATGTGTTACTGTGCCTTTTGAGTTAGTTGACTCTTCTTCCAAGCACAATTTAAATGTCAAATCATACAGGAAATCTTCTCCGAGGACACCCACTAACAAAACACACACACACACGTACACACACATACACACACACACGTACACATGCACACACACGTACACACACACGTACACACACACGTACACACACACACACACACAGTATGCATTACTCTTTTCTTACTTTCATCTTCATAGTACTCTCTGTGGGCCCACGAAACTTAGTAACAGACTGAAAGCAAAATTGTGACTAACTCATCTTTATGCTCTTCAAAGTTTCCATCATAGAGCTTGACACCTTCTAAGCAAAAATAAGTGTATTTTGATTTGTTATTTAGTTTGTGTACTAAAAATATGGGTTCTAATAGTTAAGGAAGTTTTCCATAAAGAAGATGACTTTAGATAGCTCTAGACACATTGATAAGTGTCAGATCCTAGGCCATAGACTATTAAATATGTTTGATAGAAAGATTTTTATAGATCACATCTGCTGGAGTGGTAAGTGATGAATTTGGGTAGATGAATTGGGACCAAATTGCAAAGAACCTTGAATTTCAGGAAAAGAATTAGGATCTTGATGATGCTGGTTATGGGAATACCCTGCAGGTCCTTACTCAGGAAAGCAACATAATGATAGCGATATTTTTGGAAGATTTGTCTGTGAGTTAGGCATTAAAGGAATCAAGACAAGGAAAGTCTGGAGGTAAAGAAACCAGAGATTATAGAAATGGGCCAGTATAATTGGACTTTAAGCCAAATTCTAGTTTTATTTTCTTTTTGCCTGGTTTTACTCTTGACTTTATTTCACAGTAAATGCAGGCATTCTATTCAGGACACGCATTGTGTAAGCTACTTCTAAATTAAAAAAAAAAAGCGTGATCCTAAATATGACCTGGTGTATGTTTCATCAGAAATCTTAAATATTTTTCCTCACATGAAGTAATAAAGTCTTTTTAAATTTGCAGTCCAATCAGTCAATAAACAAGCAAATTTTCAATAAACAATAGGGACCTTTATTTGGTTTAAGCCATACCAGATTCAAATAGAAAAGCATAATAAAAATAGCTGTTTTCAACAAAAAAGAATTTTCAATTACCTTATTTAATTTAACTATATCAAAAATCTCCTGGTATTACATTAACCTTATTTTATAGAAAAGGGAACTGGTAAGTCATGACACTAAGAAGGGAGTCTGGGCATCTAAGCCAGAGCCCGTCTACCTTCCATCAATCTCCTCAAGGAAGACAAAGTATATACAAGACAGTTGTATCAGAGAGTAAGAGCTTATGCCACGAAGTCCAGATGCCTGTCCAAGAAGCAGGGCCTCAGTGCAAAACTGACACGTAGGTAAGCTTTGAAATTGTAGCTTGTTCAGAGAACATTCCAAGTAGAGTAATCAGCACGAATGAAGATGCAGAGGTAAGAATCATCTTGGCGCATGGCTGGAAAAGTATGTAAATGGTAATATCAGAGGGAAGCTGCATGTTGAGAACTAGTGAGAATCGAACTGGATCAGTAAGATACAATAAGATAGAAAAATGGAGCATCAAGAAGGCCTTCAAGATGTCTAGTAAGAAAACCGAGTGTATGGTCAAGCCATCAACCAGGAAGAGGAATATGGAAAGAAGAATGAAAGGAAAGGAGGGTTGATGAGATAAAGGATGATGACTTTGATTTTGAATGTGCAGTTATTCTTCACATGGAGCTGCCTAGTAGACAACTGGGGGTGGCAAAACCCAGCTGAATTATAAACAGGGAGACAAGGATCCCTAGAGTAATCTATTCTGAAAGAGAATGCACATATCTTTGAAGGAAGCCTGGAAGAATATAGTTCATCCTCAAAAAAAGGGGCATTTAAAGAAAGAAATGAGTTTTATAGAGAGCATATATGGCCAAGTATGTAAGATCAAGAAAAGACCAGAGCTGCTTAAAATGGGGATAAGATGCAATTGTGTAAAGATACGATGTTCAAGTTTTCTTCTCCATCCACCTTGCATAGAAGAAACAGAAGAGCAAGATTTTAAATTTTGCTCTCAGTAGTATTT